TCCAACCAACAAGGTAAGGGGGAGAGAAGGTGGGGGACACCACGTGGGCTTTGAGGTTTGAAAACTAATTCTGTGCAGCAGAATGACCAATAAGAAGGGGTCAGGTTCAGACAAAGAACTGCAGCCTATTTAATGCCTCAAGACAAAGAAAGCAGCGGCCACCCTTCTCTGTCTGTCCAGGAGGGACAGTCTTAGGCTTAGAATTTAGAATTAGGTTTTAGAGGTAGTGTCTGCTTGCAATAAAGTTTCTGTACTTTTCACCTAAAAAATAAAAATAAAAAATAGTAATAGCCAATAGAGGACCAACTTCTACTGACATGGGTCCTATATCTTAAGATTTCACACTTAAGATCTAGGACCTTAATGTTCCCAAAATGTTGTTGGGAACATTTGCAAAACTGTATGCTCACAAACAATTTAAAAATACAGTTTTATAAGTTTTTACAGCTTAACAGCATTACTTTCATTTCCAAACTTTTAGTGAACATAAGAAGAAAAGAAATATTAATCTAATTAGTCCTACTTAATTGATGGTTTGCCAAACCAGCACTAGAGGCACTGTTTCTTTGGATCTTCCAATCATTTCCTTCCAGATTCCCTTTGCTGGCGTCTCCCTGAGCTTCCTGTGTGGGGCCTTTGTTTCTCCTTCTTGGTCTTGTCCGCAGTAACAGAAGTCTGCGTCATTTAGGTTGAGCATTCTGAAGCACCTCACATCCTAACGTTTGCTTCTATCTGTTTCTGCTTTGGGGCATCAAGTCAGGTCTCCTTCCACATCCCACTTTTGTTCATCTGTCTCCCTCTTGCCCACCCTCCCAGGCTCAACACCCATTGAGAGGCTTGCTTTTTCTCAGACCATGTATAAGTAACAAACAGCAAGAGCAATGAAGTGACCCAAAGTGTTAAAGAATAATTGGGATTCAAGCCTCAGCACCTACTGACAACCAAGCCACTCCTTAAAATCAAATAATATACTTCTCGGGAGTCTCTGTGACATTTTCCCTCTCTTCTTGGAAAAATAATCCATATTTTTTTGTAGGAAGTGGTCAGAATCGGTTTAAGCTACCTTCTGAAATGGAGCATACTTATGGTATATGCTGATTAATGAATAAAGCAGGAAACAAAATTCTACTGTTTACATGATCATCACTATATAAACAATAGATGCATAGGAAAAAATACTGGTAGGAAGTATACCGAAATTTAAGAGTAGCTCCTTGGGAGTGGGAAAATTATAGGGATGTTTTTCTTTTTTTCTACTCATTCTAAAATATCTGATTTTTCTATATGATTTTAAAAAACAATAATTTTTCAGCAAAAGCTATTTAGCAAGATGTTATGTTTAAAATCTTCTCTGATACTTATGCCAAGTCCACTGTGTGCCAGCCAAACCTGGAACAGCAGACATGGCACTGCTTTATGCCCAGAGCCTCAATCAAGGTACTGGGACTATCCGAGCAAAACAGATGATAACAGACAATGCCGCCACCACCTCCCCTAGTCTCTCCCTACCTGCCTTCCATCGTCCCTCACGAGGAAAGTTACACGATGCTCACATAGTTCTTGTTTGAGTAAGTCAGTTTCACCAAATCCCTTCTTTTCCCCCCATCCAAGAGTCATACAATATACAATTTTAGCCAAGTAAGTTTCAAATACTCTTTAGTCCAATGCAGCCATGGCTGATAAATTATTGCAAGAAAATCAGCTTCGGTATGCGTCTCACCAAATCTGACTGTCATACACAACGTACTCACACTCTGGAATATCACTTGCTGAGAGAGCAGGGGTGTCACCTTCCAGGAGCTTCTGCAATTCACCTGAGATACCGGCGCTCTTATGTCACAGTCCTTAGCACGAACTCAACTGTGAGTTGGACATCTTAATTCTAACCATGGTTTTAATTTTTCAGATTCAACCTTTTAAAAGTAAAGTTTGCAAAGAGCAGCTAATCAAGCTGTTTACAGCTAATGCATCTCTGTTTGCAGTTGGGAATCCAATAGGGCAGCCAAAGCTCCACCATCTTCCCACAGGCAGTCTACTTGTTCCTGCCAGATGCTCACTTCCCTTCTCCTGGGCACAGCATTTGCCAGTGCCCACTACTGAGCCTCTAGTTTTTAATCATTTTTATCCCCCTATACTTCTACACTTCTATCAGGGACTAACTGGACCCTTCCTTCTTAATTTCTGTATCGATCCATTCCATCTACCTTCTCTTTTTCCATTTCCTCCAAATGCTTTGCCCTCTCCTCCCATTCTACCTGCCAAGAATGTGAAAGAACCACTGGGGCGTCCCGCTCTTCACTGCAATGGAATCAGGTCCCAGCCCTCCCTTTTGAGCAAAACACCAGGCCCTTGCAGCATCCACAGAGAGCGGGCCCATCACTGCTGACTCAGCATAAATGGAATCCTACTATCACTTCTCGATGAGGTGGTGGGGGCACTGGCTCGGAAGAGCTTACTAACTGCTGTCCCCTGGAGACATTAACCCTCCAATCAACATTCTCGGTGGATAACTAATGGCCAGTATGATTCCTGATGCTCTGATGGGTTAACAACAACAATACAACGTCAATTCCCAGCGTACTAAATTAAATAAAATTTAAAAGTCAACTCCTCAGTCACACTAGTTACACATCACACATTCTAGAAACAGATGTGGCTGTTGGCGACCATGCTGAATAGTGCAGATTCAGAACATGTCCATCGTCACAGAGTTCTATCGCAACAGCACTGATGTAGTCTATGAGATCACACTAAACTCACATCAAACATTTTCAATAATACAAGTCAGCAAAGACATACCTCGACCCCACATGTATCAGCCCTTTCCCTAGAGACTGAACAGAAGGTACACACGTATAAAACAGCAAAACAGGCTGAAAATGGCCTTGAGGAAAAGCGGTTTTCAGCTGCAGACTCCAGCTTGGCATCTGACTATTGCTCACTGCTGGCTGCCCCCTTCTCTGAGTCAGAAGGTTCTTTTAAAATCTATTATCATTTTCTTTGCATAAAGTCAGGCAACTTTTTTTAATCCAAAAAAAGTTTAAGTTAACGAAAAGCAAATGTAAGCACGAGGAACAATCATTCACAACCCTTCCATAAATCACTGGGTTAACGTCACACACGGTTCTGTCTCAAACCCTTCCCTACAATCCTCCTCAGACACAATGATGTTACTGACAAAACACCCGAATTTGGTCAGGCTACCACAATTTCCTTCACGCGTGTCTTCTTTACCCAGCAAGTATACCAGTTTGAGAATGAAGTGAGTTTTCAAAACCTAAATTAAAATAACCCTGGTATGCCCTAACCAGTTTGGCTCAGTGGATAGAGCGTCGGCCTACGGACTGAAGGGTCCCAGGTTCGATTCCAGTCAAGGGCATGTACCTTGGTTGTGGGCACATCCCCAGTAGGGGGTGTACAGGAGGCAGCTGATCGATGTTTCTCTCTCATCGATGTTTCTAATTCTCTATCCCTCTCCCTTCCTCTCTGTAAAAAATCAATAAAATATATTTTTTTAAAAATAAAAATAAAATAATCCTGGTATTTCATACGTTTACCAGCCAACACTCCCCCCCCCCCGCCCCCCGCCACCAGCAATTTGTCTTGGTAAACATTCTTCGGAGCTAGCATTCCTGGGTATGTGATGCACTGGGTGGATGTGACATCCTGTATGCATGGGCTAGGGCCACGCTCCTGGCTTTGTGGCCACAGCAGCCATCCAGACGGACATGCTGGCCTGCACCTCTCATCTCCCCCCTTCCAGAAGTCAATTCTTCCTCTTACCTTATATAACAGGAATAGTAAAGGCGTGTGGGTTGCTGGGGATGGTCTCCGTGTCTGTTCCAATTTCAGGAGCTCCACACGCAAAGAGATCCAGCAAATCTCTGCTGGCTCGTAGCCAAGCTACCAGCAGCTCAGCCAACCACCCCTGAGGGTGCTTCCTCCTCACCAGGCCTCATTCTTCATGATTTCCCAACTGTTGTAACTGCTTTGTCGAGTAGCTGCCAAATGTGCCCATAACGCTCCATGGGCCTCCAGGGAGCACCCCGACCACTAGGCTCTGCGGGACCACCCTGGGCATCGTCTTGGTTTTCCCGATTTCACACCAGCCTGAGCACTGCACCACCACCGCCGCCGCCTCACCTCTGCAACTCCTACGACTGCTTGGCCCTTGTGCTTTCCAGGTATGTGACCTGCCTCAGCTGTGCTGAGCTTGAAGACACCACCTAGGAAAGTTGGTGCTTATCTGCTTTCCACTTAGCACAGAGGCCTTCAAAGACCATCCAGGTGGCCAGACGAGGCCTCTGCCCAGCCTATGTATGTCCTCCAACCCAACAGCCTCATCAGGCTGTAACTCAAAAGAGGACTCTGGGCCTGGATTATTCCTGAAGAATTAGAAAATGTCTAGGGAAGAGCTTTGTGGAGGAGCCCTCAGGGTGCTGTGAACTAGCACGCACGTGAGCAGATGAGAATTTCCAGGCCCACAGGAAGGATGACCTTCTCCTTGCCCAGGGGCCTCCCGGGGCCTTTGAAGGAGGCCAGGGGTAAGATCCTATCAGCTCAGCTCGAAGGGGCCACACTGGGTATCAAAATGAAATAGTGGTCAGCTTGGGGATTCCAGGGCCAGGAGGAAGGAAGTTATCAGTCCCAATTCCATGAGGCACTCTCCGCGAGGGGAGTCGCTTCACCTGAGGGCTGTGCCTAACAAGGTAACATAGGACAAGTCCCCAGCCCCAGCTGGCTCAGAACAAAACAGCTCAGGAAAAGCCTTCATTGCTTTGTTTTGATTGTTTTGCTTTTTACATTATAGAGACTCAACCTCTGAGGTCATTGCATAACTAATGCTGCAAAGAAAATGTATCTGAGTGAGTTTCAAGAAACAGACAAGGTTCCCAGGAAGGAAGACTTTCTTTTTTAAATATATTTCCTTCTTGTCCTCCATGCACCTGGGACGGTGCTGCCCCTAGGAGTGCAAGGAGAAGCCATATTTTGGAACCTACCCAAATCTAGACAGTCCTGGTCTTCATGCTCATTCAGTTGAACCACCAGGCTTTTCAGGCCCTGGAAGAGATAAAGTCAGGTGTGTGTTTTTAATGCCATATTAATGCTTCCTTATTTTTGTAAACTAGAAAAACAACCTCAGAGAACACCAGTAAAGACATGTTACATGTGCACCACACATAAACAGAAAACTAGTCTTGTCCTTAACTGATAGTATTTAAGAGCTAAAAATACGAGACGGACCTGTCCCAAGCTGAAACCTGCCTGCGAGCTCTCCATAGCTTCTCTTGCTCCAAGGCTCTCTCCCAGGTTCACTCTAGCAAGCGCCTTACCGGCACACAGCTAGCTATCAGTCCTGGAGTACAAGTTTGTTTTGGAAAATGTATTATGTCATCTTGCATATACTACTAGAAAGATAGCTAGGTATGGTCATAAACACTAGAGATGGAAAATCCGATAAAGAAAACTGAATTTCAAGTTATTCTGAATGTGGCGTGGGGCACATCCTTGAGTGTGTGTGTGTGCGTGTGTGTGTTGGTTTTTTCTTGGGGGATTGTAAAAAAATTACTACCACCAGATCTTCACTTCCACTTTAACTTTGGGGAGCAGCACAGAGGAAAAAAAGGGGGCCAGGGAGTCATTACCTTTCCATCCTCCTGTTCAGGTGAAGATCTACTGGACACCAAATTCTTAACCTCTGCAAAAGGAATAATTCTCATCAGGATCTGCTGATGAAAGCTTTTGGTTTTCTTTTTAAATAAAAAAAGAAAGGAAGGAAGAAACTAGATGGAGAATAAAAATGAACTGTCCAGAAACTGTCTGCATAAAACCAGGTATTTAGATTAAGCTTCTTAAAAACCAACTGTCCGCAGAGCAGCGTCTCTCATAACCTTACTGGCCACACTCGGGGATTATTTGTGTGGACCAAGATGTAAACAAGCCCAGGAGCTCTCACAGGGAATCCTGAAGGGGGGAAAAATGGTCATTAAGTAAATAAAGGCCCTTGATACAGGAGGAAGGCTGCTCACTAAAGGAAGGCTCTTCAAAATAGCACAGATTCTAAGGCCATGACTTGTACCCACCTGAGGAAATCCCGCACATCTATTTCCTCAAATACCAGAGATTTCATGTTTCAAACGAGCACCCTTCATTCTAGATGCAGCCTGGCCTTTCCTGGGGCACCGGGGGAAGTCGAGAACGCCAGCACAGCCCTTAGGCTCAGCCTCGGACGGTGGCAGGCTCCGCACTGACAAGCCGCAGGCATGCCGGTGCCCCTCTCTGAATACAGGCTTTCCTGGAAATATCAGTGGTCAGGATGTTCTGGGATGTTCAGGAAGGTTCACTTAGGGGGTATTTTTCTCTGTGCCTTGACTGATTGGTTCTCTTCCCAAACACTCAGTTGCCGGTAAACAAGGGCCACTGTTGTTCAATAACCACCAACAGCCGGTTTGGGTCCAAAGAAAATAAAAGGACAGATGGCTAAGAATCTTTGCTCTGAATTTGCATTAATATCCAACATTGTGGGCCCCAAGGCCCTACTCTGGGCCCCTCAGCTCCCCTGCCCCCATGGCCCTGCTTGGAGCTCATTCTGGGGAAACCCCACTGCTTTTCCCAGCAGGTCCATTAAGCAGGCTCTGCCACACTTATTCATTTAAGTCACGGTGGGCGGCGGGCCTCAGACCTCCAAGTGGGCTTTTTCAAGCTCTTCTCACTGCCTGGCAACATGTTGGGAGTTTTCTTCCGTGTGTCTGCTTAGAAAAGTATAAGGGATTCATTTACACCTTGAGGCAAGGATGAAGCAGAGCAGTCAACTTTCTCACTGGCATGAGGGGTTTTTAACAATCTACATCACAAAAACTTTGAATTTGCTTTTCATCAAACAAGTAATAAGATATTAACACTCCAAAATAGTGTACTGTTCTTGAATTCATAGTGCACATCAGCTCTACAAGGAGAAATGAAAAAGCAAGAGCCTCAATTGTGTGTGGTCATGTCAACTGACCTCAACAGGGAATAAGGACAAAGCAGCAGCAGACAGACACACAGGCAGCTTTAGTTCCCCGGCATCCTGCCTACCTTTACATGCACACTCCACACAGGCCTCTAGGTGGCAGCAGAGTAACATTGGCAGGGCAGCATGGACAGCAATGTGTGTGTCAACTAGGCCAACTTCACACTTCAAAAGCCTGCTGTGTAAGAGCCTATGTCCAAAGCTTTTCATCCCACTGCACAGATGCAGAAAGCTGATGTGAAGCACTCACTATGTTGTTTACCACACTGTAGTAACATAGTAGGGTTTGTTTTGAAACATGTATACACAAACCCTAAAAATTAGGTAAGTGGGAAAGATATCAGCAATGCATTAAAAATGAAGGGAAGGGTAACCAGAACCAAAGTTTCAACAGACACGTCTGCACAGATACCAAGAGTCACACATGTGTTTATTTTGTCCTTGATAGAATATTCCTTTAAAGCCATGTCAGACCATATGCTCTTAAATTAGGATGATTCTGCATTCCTAAAGAATTCTACACCAACACTGATGATTCAGAAGAACAGTGCACATTTTATTTAAGATGGCTAATGAAGAAGGCTATGTCATCTGGTAGTCCAGCATGCAACAATAAAGAATGTGTTCACCCTGGTAGTATGTTCTCACCCCAGCTCCCCGCCCCTCTCAAAAAGCTAGGTTTTGTTCATGGCCAGTTTACATTTTTTCCTTATAGTTTAATGTAATTTTGTTTAACTTTTTAAAAACTATATTAAAATAGACAAGTCTTTATAAAATTTGTATTCCATCATTTAAAAGATAATTTGCAAAGTTATAAAACCTTTATACTAAAATCATTAAGATATTTGTGACAGCCCTAACCAGTTTGGCTCAGTGGATAGAGCGTCAGCCTGCGGACTCAAGGGTCCCAGGTTCGAGTCTGGTCAAGGGCATGTACCTTGGTTGCGGGCACATCCCCAGTAGGGAGTGTGCAGGAGGCAGCTAATCGATGTTTCTCTCTCATCGATGTTTCTAACTCTCTATCCCTCTCCCTTCCTCTCTGTAAAAAAATCAATGAAATATATTTTTAAAAAAAAGATATTTGTGACAGCATAAATTCAGGATAATAATGTATCATTAATTAATTTAGGTCTATACAGAACTGCATCTTAGAGCTTTCAAAGAATTTGGCACTCATTCTACTGGGGTTTAATTAAATTGCTCCAGGAGAGTTTCTGCTAAATTACTCAGATCCTTTTACACTCACCCACTGTACCACCAACTGCACTGTGCAATCAAACCACTCATTGCTATAGCAACCTTCAGCAGATAATGATATCAGTAACTCCAAGCTATTCTGTTTTAAAGACCTATTAATCTTGCTTTCCAGGCCACCCAGAAGTAAGAATTACCCCCTCTACTAGTAAATCAGACTTACCAACTTCATAAACATACCTTTTTATTGCCAAGCTGCAATGGAACAAGAAATAATTTCTAATAATCATGTTTACCAGTGACACTGCAGCAGCAAACAGGGTTTTCAAAACAGGGTTAAGTAGCTGTAAGATTTATATCAGTGTCTTAAGAAACAGATTAGCCTAATAGATTTGAACTCTGTGCACAAGCCTGTCCCCTTTTGAAAAATGGGGCCAACCAGGCTAGACTTAAGCAATGAAAAAGCTTACATTGAAAATTTAGAATGCACAGTATTCTCCTTTAACTACCATTTGCGGTGCCATCTGACTCCTCCCCCAGGAGGAGGCAAGAAGAATCATGATCAGAGCCAGCCAGACAACTACTGTTGTTTCATCGCTACCCTCGGGTTCAGCTGTCCACGGTCAAGTGCACAACTGGGTTAGGTTTGCAGGGCAGCATCGAAGCACAACTGGAAACAAGGGCCTTGCTCTCAGCTTGCTCCACTTGCCCCACAAATGCCCACAGGAACCCTTAGGGTGGTTCATAGTCTCTCACTGAATCCGTTTCTCCCAAAAGACCATGAGTCCCAGAAAGGCTGGGTCCAAATAGATTTGAGTCCAATACCTGTATCCCCAGGGCCAAGCTGATTGCAGGGCACACTACAGATACTGAATAAGTGCTTCTCTCTTCCACCTGGATCTGGTGGCCCAAAGCAGCCAATGAGATGTGGTGAGTTGTTAGGCAACCTGGGGGTGAGCCAGGTAAAAGAAGGCTGCTTATTTTTTTAGTTATTCCTTCAAACACTTCCAATACTAGCACTATTTTGATACAACTCCAAACTGGATCAGACTGATGAATGCTTTTCCCCTTGCCTCCTCCCACCCCTCCACCTCTGTCAGACCCAGTCTACCCTTTCCTCTCCGGTTATGCACTTGTGTTTCACTGATAACGACTTCACGCCCACGTGTCACTTTAATGTTTTAGCCTAGTGTGCATGTCCTATTCACAACTGCCAGAGATTCAAAATGGTGAAGGGGACAAATGTGAGAAACTATCCACCACTATTATTTCAGAGGCTACTACATCACCTTGACCTTCTGTTTCAGTATCCCAATTATGTGGGGGTTTTAGCCCCTAAAAGTGGGACTACTGATAAGAATAAGCATGGACTGGGAAAAACACTGAGGCATGTATCTATAGAAATATCTCTGTGAGCCCTGTCAGTCCTCAACCCTCAACATTCCATTTGGTTCAACAAGCAAACCAGGCCCCCACTGACTGCAGCATCTGCAGCCGGGAAGAGCGTGTCCCGGTGAGAGAAGAAATTCTTGCCCCTCAGCAACTCAAAAACATGTTCCTTTACAATATCATTTTTATATTTGCACTCTGCATTCTTTCAGAAAGAATTTAAGCCATCTTTTTTGAAATACAGTTTTTAAAAATAATTTGTGACACTTTTGAGCCAAAAAAAAACTAAGAAACTTTGAAAGGGACTACGAAAAAGTAATCAATAAAATCACTGTTAATGTTTTAGTGTATACTCCTCTCCAGACATACGTATATTTTGTCACAACTTTATTGAGATATAATTCAATACCATGTTATTCACCCATGTAAAGGCTATAATTCAGTGATATTTAATATATTCAAAGTTGTGCAATCATCACCACAATCAATTCTGGAACATTTTCATCACCCCAACTTGAAACCCAGTACCTATTATCACTCACTACCCATTTATCCTCAACCTCCCCACTCTCACCCAATCCTGGGCAACCATTAGTCTATGTTCCATCCTGAGGGGTTTGCCTATTCTGGATATTTTATATAAATGGAATCACACAATATGCGGCCTTTTGTAACTGGATCTTTCACGTAGCATCATGTTTTCAAGGTCCGTTCATGTTGCGATGTATCAGTACTTCATTCCTTTTTCTTCAGTTTATCTTTATTATTGAAAGAATTACAGATGTCCCCCTTTTTTCTCCATTGACCTCTCTACCCCGCACCTACCTCTCCCAGGCCCTAACCATGTCTGTGTCCATGGGCTATGCATATATGCATATATGTTTCCCAGTTAGTCTCTCCTCACCCACCACCCACTCCTTGCCTTCCCTTTGAAATTCATCAGTCTGTTCCACGCTTCTAAGTCTCTGAATCTATTTCGTTCATCAGTTTATTTTGTTCATTACAGTCTACATATGAGTGAGATCATGTGACACTTGTCTTTCACTTCATTCCTTTTTATCACTAAATACTATTCTGTTTTATGGATACACCACTGAGTCCAC